TTAGTTACCCCTTGTTGCTGACCCTTTTAAACTGATCCAGAAGGAACTCCCTGAAGAGAAGCGTACTCTATGTCGATGGACACAGAATCTGAGCTTGTAGTGTGCTGTGAACAGACATGTCAGTAACTGTCCTTTTAAAGTGTAGACTCCAGGACCTCGTATGACAAAAGAGAGGTTCTTAAGGCCTGCAACCCCTCTCTGCTTAAGCAAGGTTATGCTTTTTGGTTATCTGTGCTCATCTGCTTTTCAACTCTCTTCTTGAGCTCTAACAACCAATCCATCAGTTTCAGCTTTGCTGCATCTCCTGTTAGTTTGTGGCCACTGGTAACAGCCTCTTCTCCCACAATCTTGCATCCCTCTATGAAATCCTATCCTTGGAATAAAGCCCAGGACCCCAAGTCTGTATTTGCCACATATAGCGGTAAACTTTTCAAAACCAGTCCTGGAGTTTCCTAATGTTTCTGCTGAATTTGTGGTGTAGTCCAGTCTTCTGATCTTCGTCTTGTTATTCTGCATTGTCAAGCGCCCTTATGGAGATACTTTTGCCGAGATCTGCATTCCTCATTGATCCGGTCTGCAACCGTAGGGGGTTCTAAGAGAGTAAGTACTATACCAATCATTCTGCAGCCTTGTACCTCTGACAGACTACCTAAGGTGTTCAAACGTGTTTCATTTTGATGCCTGGCCCATTATCTGCTGGGTGATATGTTGCAGCTGCATATCAGGCTTCAATCAATAGTGCTTAAACTCAGAGAACACTCAATAGGTGTCTGATTGAAAGTGTCTGTATCCTGACCTGTCAGGCTGCATTTGTGAACTTCAGACCTCTTGTTCTGTTTACAACTCAGCTTGTACTATGCACCCTTCTCTTGGTTCTTTTTTAGTTCATGTTTTCTGCCTCCTGCCTGCCATGACTTTCTGCTTGTTCTGTGTAAACTTCTCTGCTTCCAACCCTGACTTCAATCCCCTCTTGATCTCCCTATGCCATTTTTTCCAAACTGCATACAGCTGTTTCAGGTTATCTGCCCAATTGGTTTCCAATCCCTACTGCATAGATGATGCCAAATAGCCTGAAACAGCTGTATGCATTTGTGAATAAATGGCTCTCTAATATTAGTGATATCTGCACTATACACCAGCAATTCTGGATGTGCATCTGGCCAAAGGGGTGAAAAGCAATGATTTGTATGACTCTGCTCACTGTCCTGAAATAAGGAATAATCCTCTTATTTTTGGCATGTGCAATGGAATGAGACATGTGAATACCTTCTTTTCTAAGAAGGCTCTACTGTGCTATGCGCTGATTAGAGTGGGTTTTTTTTTATTGATTTAATCCCTTCTCATCATAACCTGTAAGAATAAAAAATGAAAAATAAAATATATGTATATTGTTATCAAACTGGCTGGTTAGAAATTGTGTATATTGTTTTCAAACTGGCTGGTTAGAAATGTTAGATGTAAAAAGATATATATGAAAATGCAAAACATGTAAGGAGTTCAGCAGATCACCAACATCGGGTGATTGAATTATGTCTAGAGAACCCCCAGACACTCAGAAATACACATATACATTGTGCGAGCATGCAGACCACCTCGGCACTATCCCCAGGTGACAAGAATCAGCAACCAAAATCAAACCACAAAAAAATTACCAAATGTTATTAGTTAAGGGTGTACGCTGCTCAAATATCATGATAACTAAAGCTGAACTCCAGGCAGACATAAAGGATACACATTACTGCGGCTCTGTATGGATACATACATTATTAAATGTAATTTGCTTTCATGCAAACACTGCAAGTGCCTAAACTTGAGCTGGTACACAGCAGGGGTTAGACTTGGAGAGGAGAAGCAGAACTAGGAGCCAGTCAGTTGTGCTGCAGTTCTCATATGCCAAGAAGGAACATATTAACAAGAGGAGAAAGCAGAATGACGGAGAGATGACCTCATCAGTCTGCTGCTTCTTCTGTCCATTTACAGGCTATTGGAGGTCACACTGTCTATCGCCATTACTGGTGCTCTGTCCTGGTTACTGGCTCCAGTCCTGCCATTTTCCTGCTGGGTGCACTGTTTTGCTGTTTTACTTGATGGAATACAGAGATGTTACAGCAGCACCACAGCACTAGTATAAGTCTAGTGTGCCACATGCTCAAGCAGCAAGCTTCATTCTAGTCCTTTGTACCAACCTGGTATTCTCATCTCTGATTCAGCTATTAACCCTTTCGCTGCCAAGGACGTACGTCGTACGGAGCTACAAAAGTGCTTCCAGCTGGCCAGCTCAGTACGTCGTACGGACCTGGCATTTACAGTTCTACTGGCTTGGCCAGCTGATTTGAAAAATGTTCCGGAGGGCTTGGCAGCGAAAGGTTTAAGCTAGTTATGACCCCAGTTTTTTTCCCTTGATTAAACATATCTTATTTGTTCTCTGCTGCCTGACTTAACTTTAGCCTGCATCATGACTTTGCAAATAGACTGAAGTTAGAAAAGAATTGCGGATTTGGTACTTCAGTTCTGCTCCAGCATGTCAACTGTTGCCAATGGTGCAGACCTGAGTACTCCTGCTAGGAAGTATTTTGTAGTAACATTATAGTACCTTAAACTTTGCAGCCCAGCGAAGTCCAGGCAAGGAGAATACAGGATCCACGCATCTTTAGAAAAAGTGTATGGGCTTTACACCATCAATCAACCAACATAAGCCAATATTTCAAGACCATACAGGATATCTTTATCAATGTGCATATAGGTCTTGTATTCACCTTTATAAAGAGACCCTTTGTGGTCTTGAAACTTTGACATTCTACATCATATTATAAATGAAAAAAGGTAATTACTTCATTTTGTCATTTGAAGTGAAAGTGGTACTCATTTTTCACCATGGTGATCATTCTATTTGATATATTGTCAGAGCAGTAAGGAGTTCAGTTGGACCTAAACTGAACCCTGTATTTCCTATATCAGATATGTAATATGAATTAAGTCAAAAGTAAATGAACAAGTACTAAACATATTAATAGTTACACTATATTACCAAAAGTATTTGGACGCATGCCCATACACGCACATGAACTTTAATGGCATCCCAGTTTTAGTCCGTAGGGTTCAATATTGTGTTGGCCCGCCCTTTGCAGCTATAACAGCTTCTGCATTACAGTCTCCATAATTCCTCAGTAAAATTTTCCTTCAATCTTCTCCAACCAAAACCCTAATAAGAACGACAAATTCAACCATTGCTTTCCAAAAAACTGGAAGGAGTCATTGAACACCAGAATTGCTTACTGTAGGTGAAAGCTGCATCCCTAGTTTATAATGTTTCTATAGCAAAACTCCAGGCATTTTCATAAGTGATAGAGAGGCACCTCACTCATTTGGCCAGCAAGGGAGCAAGATTTGGAAGTTTGTAAGTATTTTCTCTGCAGTTTTCATCAATCCTGATGACTTGTCATCAGCGACAGAATGACATGCAACATTAGCCTTAGTCACCTCTATTTACAAGGGCTGCTGATTAAACAAAGGAGGGTGGTAGTTTGACCATGTCATTCCTGTGCCCTCTCCTCCTACAAGCATATTCACAGTGCTGGGCTGTTACTCCTACCACTACAGGTCTAAGCAGGAAGTTAAAAGAAGCTAATATAAAGACAGATTCAGGTATTTATACTAGCTGTAGTTTGGCTTTAAGTGCTGCAATACATGTTTCTGCAGTCATCCCCAAGTGAGGAATATTCATAGTCTGAGCACCAAAAACTAGGATTTGTTATTCTCGTAAGGCAGTCCCTGGGTTACGAACAAGATAGGGTCTGTAGGTTTGTTCTAAGTTGAATTTGTATGTAAGTTAGAACAGGTAAATTTTTGAAGTGTAACTCCAGCCCGAAAATGTTTTGTATAGCATAGGGAAGGGTTACCGCCTTGTAAAGTTTGTTTTGCTGTGTGTGCCCCTGTTCAGAACATTTTACCTCAGTTTCTGTCCCTGTGACAATTGGATTTTGAAAATTTTGGGTTGTCGTGGAAACAAGGATTGGTGATAAAGCTTCGGTGGAGACAGCTTTTTCCCATGATAACTCTTACGGGAGTGAATTTCTTGTTGTCTCAAGGACAGGAAGTGGGATTAAATCTTTCTAATGAGGATACAGACAGCAGTTAAAACCTCATTGACCCAGAAGAAGAGGCGGGCACCCAACATCTACACGTCTAACAAGAGCCAACTTCATGTAATGTACGTACAGTACTACGAAGCAGACCCAAAAAGGTGGGCACTCCTCATCGGCACGAGCGCAGTAGCATTGCAACTACCCCTGCTGTACAGTAATAGCCTCCGTTTGTAAGTAGGAGTCGTATGTACGTCAGATGTATGTAACTCAGGGACTGCCTGTATACAATTACTGGAAAGCTCATAATATTCCCATATATATCCGCAGACGATAGAATAGGAAGAAAAGGTTGCTCTCCACAGTATAAACAACACCTACTGATGCACCTGAAAAGAGAAGTGAAGTTCCTGCTTTATCAATAAAAATAAATCAGAAATAATTAACACAACATTTTGATGAATTAATAAATCTCTCTTTTACACATAACAGTTTCCCCCCCAATTCTCTTTTTGCCGTTATGGATCAAAAGACCAGTACTGATTGAGGCTCAAGAAAAATCCTTTATGTCTAAGTAATAACAGATCCTCTGCACCCATGGCCAGTGATTGAAGAGGGAACTCTAAGTTTTTGCTTATAACTTCTTTGCTACGGGTAAGAATAAAGAAGGGGAGAAAATCAGCCATAAAAGTTTAGCCCATGTTAGATTCAAACTATAATTTTTGAGAGAGACAATATGAAAATAGAGCTCTACACCATGGTAAACATTCTGCTTTTCTACCTCTTGACAGACAAATAAGTAACAGTTGAAGCACTTACAAACCAAAATTTCATAAAATGCACCTTAGCCTGGGTCGATCGTTCTTAGGTAAGTTGCAGTAGAGCTCATTGATCTCTCTAACATTAAGGGTCACATACCTGCTCATCACTAGGCGTCTGATTATACACAATTCTATTTTGACGGGAGGTGAACTGGATTCCCAAGCAAGGATGTGATATTCTCTTTTTCCAGCTAGTACCCTGTAATGCCAGAAGAGGTCAATGTAGTTTTCCGGTTGCACACAGAAGGTCTACAGAAGAGTTAGCTTGGATATTTCACTCGAGAGTCCAGGCCAATCATGGTTAATTATCTTACACAATGATCTGGCTATTAGCAAAAAGGGGTCTATTAGAGTTAGTGGTAGACACAACACAAAGAAATTAGGAAAGATAAAAAGGTAGAGAAACAGAAGAGAAAACTGAAAGTAGATATTCTTACTTCGAAATTTTGATGTTCTTCTTCCTCTTCGACTTTGATTTCAGCCATTGACTCGCTTGCTTCTCGGACATCTGGCACATTTTTCCATTCCAAACTGGAGTCATTTGTTAACACACTTGGTTTGTCATCTGTGTCATCAATGATGGAATCTAGGTCAGATAACGGAAGGTGCATTCCAGAGCCTCCAAGTTTCACATCAGAATTTAGGCTTTTTCTTTTTATGAGGGACCTCCAATCTAGATACCTTCTTTTAACCTCAGTTCCAGTTCTTTGCTCCCCTTCGCCCAGTGCATTTACACATTCGGCAATTTCTTCCCAGGCCTTCCGCTTCATCTCGTTGATTGTGGTGTTCAACTGTTTTGAAAATATGACATCCCTCCTTTTTTTAATTTCTGTTAGTAAGGTCTGCGTTTCCTGCACGCTGAAGTTACTTTTCCTTTTTCTCTTAAGTTGCTTCATCATGGAAGGCTGTAGTGTCATTTTTTTCTCATCAGTAGAAATATCAGGAGTCCTAGATGGAAAAATCTGTGGCAACTGCTTCTTCCTGCTGAATTTTGCCAGGTTTAATGATTATGTATATGCCTCTCTAGGAGAATTCTAGGGACAGAGAGAGGAACATTTTGCTGAAAAGAATTTTAAAAGGCCTTGAGTTAATTATACATAATACAACAACTATTATGGCCGGTAACCTACAGCAGGCAGTGAATTCAGATGTGCCACACCACAAATTGCTGATTTATGTCTGTGTTGAAGGATTTCACACTGAAGTCAATAGGGACAACCCATTGTTTTGGCATGCCAAGAAATAGTCGCAACCAGGGAATAGCCTGCTGAATAGACTTTACAATGCTGCATCTTCAGAGCAGTGAAGTAATTTAAAATAAACCTGTGGCTGCTAATATGGATGAAGTTCAGGCATGCAAAGGTCTAGAGCAGTGGTTCTCAATCTGTGTAACCTGAGGGCCCACATTTGTCTTTGGTCTTTAAGTCGCGACCCAAGTTGCCTTGCAATGAAATGCACGGCATCGCAGTACCAAGCATTCGGGTGCAAGCGATCGGACTGTGGGCAGGTGGTGCATTTGGGGTGTCATTCAAATTAATGGTAAACCAACACACCTCCCACACCAGAACGTGCAGTAGATGCAATTGCGTGGTAAAGTGCTGCACGCACTGTACTAGTGTGAACGGACCCTCAAAAACACTGACAGACACACACACTCCTACTCCCAAAAAATTATAATTTTTTTAATTGTTTTATTTAAGATCCACCCAGTCTCCCTACCTTATGAGAACTGTAGTGGATCCTCAGCTTGGGGTCCAGTGTGGACTGCTGTGCTGTGATGGAGCTCCATCCATATGTGCATTGCTTGTACAACTCCCTTGCGTGTCCTGTAGAGGTGCCAGGAGCCAGCATGTGAGACGTCAGTCCAGTCACCTCTATAGGGCACATGTGGGAGCTGTAGGCAATGGACGTATGGATGGAGCTCCCCTGTGGCCATACTTCCAGCCCACCCCACCTCAAGCTGGCACGCAGGGCTGGGCAGCATATTTTGAATGGCTGTTTGGCGCGAGAATTGACAGTGCTGCGCTGGGGGGGGGGGGGGGGGGCTGAGGAGCATGGGGTCACGACCCACTTTTGGGTCACGACCCACCAGTTGAGAACCAAGGGTCTAGAGCATCCCTAACTGTGCACTTTATCTAGAAAGTGGCTGCTTGGCCCTACCATCTCCCTCTTTCATACTGGTCCAACAAAGTAATGACAGACCACAAAGTAGGCCTGGGAGGTAAGGTGAAGCACCAATTTCCTACATGCTTTTTGCATAATACGATGCCCTGGTTTTTGGGACTCTTGGCGCTCTCTCGGAAATTGTGACCTCCAGATGCTTGCACTTCATCTATATTTTCAACTTAGGGCCATTGCAATAACCACAGGTTTAATTTAAGCTTACATTTACAAAAAACTGCATCCATAACACACTGTTTAAAAGGACATATAATGATGTATGGGACGCCTTTGAAGTAAAGCTCCAGGCAAACAGCTAAATACAGAGTTGACAAGCATATAGCTTTACCTTTTGTCTGTGAACGGTTTGTAATTAGTTTAGCCACAAAGACTCATCTCTGTCCAGCGAGCACGGAGCTGATCCAAGAAGCAGTAAAGCTGCCCTAAGGAAGCAGAAATGCTAAACCAACAGGAATAGCTTGCCACAATTACCAATCCTTTAGCAGGTAAAACAGCTCATTTATATGTATATAGATGGTTGTCTGGAGTTCTACTTAACAGTTTTGATATTTTATATTTTTAAACCTCATATAAAATATCTGTAAAAAAATAAGTCAAGACAACTGGACTTGCTGTATTTTTCTTCAAGATGTTTCACTGGCCATCCGACCAGCTTTCTCAATTCAGAATTACTTGTACAAAAATTATCCGGGAATAAATGTGGTGAATGTTGCTCCAGTCCACATAATCTGTTAATCGCAACCAGCATGGGGTCAGAGACGTCATGGAGGTAAGGTGTGGATTGAATTTGCATAATTGGAGCTGTACCTAGACTGAAGACAGTCAAGTATGCATCCTAAACAAGGAGGGGGACTAGTTTAAAAGAGGTGTGAAAGAGGTAATTCATGTAGAAATGGAGCAGCCAAGCTTGAATAGAGGTAGTGGGGGAGAGACATCTATTGTCTGCCACATACAATGCTGTTATTAACACCTCCAGCTCCAATTATGCAAATGAAATCCACACCTTACCTCCATGAGGTCTCTGACCCCATGCTGGTTTCGATTAACGGATTATGTAGATTGGAGCAACATTCACCATATTTATTCCCAGATAATTTTTGTACAAGTCATTCTGAATTGAGAAAGCAGGTTGGTTGGTCAGTGAAACGTCTTCAAGAAAAAAAAATACAGCAAGTCATGTTGCCTTGACTTATTTTTTTTACAGATATACCATGAGCTGGGTGAATGAGAACCTTCACAGACTCATATGAAATAGTTCACAGCTTTAAATATTTTATATAGGAAACATTGTACTGTAAACCATGACATAGATACCAACTTTCATTGACACAATGGCTGAAATTAAGCATGCAGTTATTCATACATTAAAACATTTATTTTCCACTGCAACTAGTGTAAGCACCTGAATTTGTCTGTAGCTATGTATCCTGAAATCAGCACTCAAACGGGGAGAAGGGTAGAGTCAGCCATAGCAGTCAATCAGCCTCTACTACATTTTGTGCTGGCAGTCAATATGGTGACATTAGAGCAGAGCAATAACTCATCTGTATGCTGCTGCTCCTTTGCTGTCCAATGAGCAGCCTGGGGCGTGCTTTTGACAAGGATGTGCTGCTGTTGTAGTGGAGACCAAAGAGCTGGCTGCAATGCCTGGATCAAAAAAAAATGTAATTTAAAATCCTTTGGCACAATACTTGATACACAATTCCCAGTTACATATTTTAAAGAACTCCGGGCAAAACGTTTATTAACCCTTGCAGTGGGGCTATCCCTGCACTGCAAGGCTTAACTTCTTGTTGTGGTCTAGGGACGAAAATAAAAAAAAGTTATACTCATCTGAACCTCGGAGCCAGTTTGCTCTTAGACCAATCCTTCCAGCCTCGCTCCCCCTCCACTGCAGCAATCTAAGGATCCTTGAGTCATCACGTCCAATACACAGTGTGGGGAATTTATCAAAACTGGAGCAGACAGATTCTGCCCATAGCAACCAATCAACTTCTCTCTCCAGTTTACTTTACAAGATTTGAAAATGAAAGAGAGAAGCTGATTGGTTGACATGCACAGCTGCCCCAGAGTTTGTCTGCTCCAGTTTAGGAGGAGAGAGGCTGGAGGGAGTGTTGTGACAGCTGGCTGGCTCTGAAATTCAGAGTCCCGGCAGCTGTCCCTTGTCGAAAACGAGCAGTTAACCCTTGCAGGGCGGGGTAGCCTTACTGCAAGGATAATAAAAGTATTGCCCAGAGATCTGCTGTCTTTTGCCACTTGCCTGGAGTTCAGCTTTAATAAGAAGTTGTAACTAACAATATTTATGTGAAAAGTAAAAGCGGTAAAGCGACTCTTATACTGTCCGCTACTACAGTAAAACCGCAAAAAGTTTCCCAGCACACTCACCAGCCAGCATGCAAAAAAACTTGTCTCAGTGCTGAGGTTAAAAACAGGAGGTTTGGATACACGTCTTCTGCAGAAAATGTGAAAGCTGCACAGCCGCGCCAAGGCACCTCTATATAGTACGGTCCTAACTCTAACCTATGAGAGTCTCCATCTTGGAGCACATGTGGCAAAAGATAAAATTGAGTGCAGGTTTGTCAGGAAGAAGACCAACCTCCCTTAAAAGGCACAGGTACGCACAAAGGACCCCGCACATTACGCCGGCAGCTGAGACCCCCCAATGCGTCACTGCACCAAATCAGTCAGGCAAAACAAATGGCAAACCCACTCATCAATTTGTAACCAGCTCTAAGCAAGGTGCACATGAAAGGGCTTTATACAGTACAACAGCAAAATGTTTCCCAGCACACTCACCAGCCAGCATGCAAAAAAAATTGTCTCACCGCTAAGGTTAAAAACAGAGGTTTAGATACACGTCTTCTGCAGAAAATGTGAAAGCTGCACCTCCTCACCAAGGCACCTCTGTATATTTTTGCATGCTGGCTGGTGAGTGTGCTGGGAAACTTTTTGCTGTTGTACTGTATAAAGCCCTTCCATGTGCACCTTGCTTAGAGCTGGTTACAAATTGATGAGTGCGTTTGCCATTTTTTTTGCTACTAGAGTAAATCCCTCAAACCTGCGGGCTGAATGAAGAAATATAAGATTCCTCCATCCCGGCTAAACAGTGTGGATGGAGGAATCTGCCGCTGGGCTACTGTATTCCAACAGTGGTGGGTGTGCGCTGTGAGAATAACCTAATAGTGACAGCAGCTGATTGGTTGCCTTTATTGCTTGCCTGAGATTTTGACTGGCTCATTTGATTTTCCGATCCAGATGGAAGGACGCCGACAGGGCCATGCACTGAACAGATATCGGCTGGTTCATCAAGAACTGGCACAATTCGCACAGTGCATGGCTTTAGACTCAGTATGGAATATCTTCTGGAGGATAGATAATATAGATAACATATAAATACCAATAATATCATAAATACATTCAGGAGCCAGCGTCAGCTCCATTAACAACAACTAGAGAAAACCTCACAAGTTGAGCACCAGCTGTCATTTTAAAGAAGCATTGGCTACCTGGCTCATAGATTATGTTAGGGCTGAACAAATCCTATCTTTCATTTTCACTACTGGAGGAGGCTCCATCGCTGCCTAAACTCCTGTGGAAACTCGATCAATAGCACGAAAGACATGTAGCTTGGCCAGTGAGAATGCACCAGTCATGCACATCCTTCACCCTCTTTCCCACGGCTATACCCACATTTGCCAATCCATTATCTGGACCTCTACAAACATTTGCTGGTCGCCAGGGAGCTTTTTCCAACCGCCACGGTGGCCTGACAGCTGGGATTTTTCCATCTTGCCCTGGGATAATAGAAGTTGAATGTTAGGGATTCTGCTGGGGGCAATGTGTTGCCTTTGAT